AAGAATAATGTTTTTTTTTATTAATTTTGTACTTAAAATATTCTAAAAGAAACATAACAATATTGTTTCATGTACTTTCACTTTTCACGTATAGTATAACTACTCTTTAAGATTAAGTACTGTGTATCTCAAAAACCAGAGCTAATAAAATTTTTTCATTGTTATTTTCGTTTTTATCACCCCAAAATTAGTTGAAATTGACTAATTTAGTGTAGGAAACATTCAAAAAATATTTTTTTGTTGTGTTGTGATTGAACATACGGGCAGCAGCTCTAGCACTATTTCCATTCTGGTAGTACAAACTCACTATTTCAATCCGTTCTCGAAGCGTATAAACCAATGCTACTCAAGAATTCAAAAAAACAAAAGTACCAATTGTAACTTCACCTGGTAGGTACCTAATCGTTATTGTAGAATGAGACAAATGGTGAGGATATCGAATTTAAACTTAACTAGGCAAAAATAAGACTTTTTTGAAGTATACTTCACAAATACACCTATGAAACCCAGGCAACAAAGTGTACAGAAGTTCATTCATTTTTAGCTTCCAATCTATGAGCTTCAGTCCCTAATGTATTCTACTTTGTTGAAATCGGTTCATCATAGAACATCTGATAATGCAAAACAATTGATCTATTTGAAAAAAAGTAACATACTCTGGGGGAGCGATAGGGAGAGTTAGATCAAATGTGAATATGTCAAAATGTGTCCCCCTGTATACTATTGTTGGTGTGTTTTTTTATTTTTCCTGAAAATCATCGTTCCAAAATCTATATAGGGTGGCTCGTTTTCAACTCAAATAATTTGTAGCTCCTGAACCATGAGCTTCAGAACATGTTTTTTATACTTTGTTGAAATATGCTCATCATGGAGCATCTGATAATGCGAAACAATATAGGGTGATCTTTAAAAAAAACATCAAATCAAATGTGAATGGTTGACGTGTTTTTTTTATTTTGCCTGCAAATCATTGAACCAAAATGTATTCAGGATGACTCGTGTCACTTGTCGTGTCACAAGTCACTTGCCGAGTTTTTATGTCAGTGTTGGTGGTTTGACTAATCAACCGACAATTACGGTAGCAGACATTTCGGAAGCTAACCTGTAATGCCATCAGAAAACGAATCCATATGTTTCTGGAAATGACATGAAATCGAGAAAGGTTAATGCAGTCAAGCACATATCTTTAACATCTCGCACACTACAAAAATCCATCACAGATAGTTGTTTCCTGAAAATAATAATAATAATCAATGTGTATGTATGCCATTTATGAATAAGTTGAAACTAATATATTCGAAGCGAAAACATCAAATTTGCCATCTTCATAACACCAGTCCATATATATGTGCGGTGTAAATCGATCTCAAGGGTGGAGGTGGATGCTAGATTTGAGCGCTTGCGCTCGACACTAACTTCACATAAGTGTTATCGGCTGAAAGTGAAATTCTAGGAAACATAGAAGTGTGTTCGTTCTTTTTTCATTACTTAGGGCTAGTTCATATTGGAACGAATATCGCATAAAAAGTGGGATTTAAAATAGCGTCGTGTTTATCGTAAAAAAGTTGAAAAAATTGAACTTTTCTGCGAATTCCGCTATTTTATTTGACTCTCGTTTTTTAAGCCCATACATCGAAATTGAATCCGAAATGAAGGAATGTGTCAGGTTGTTCAAATTATATCAACTTTACCGTATATATAAAGCTTCATTGAGAAACCCCGTCGTTATGGTGTGAAAAATATTTTTTTAAAACAAAAGAAAATACGGAAAATATCACAACCTTGTAGCTGAAATGAGAATTAGTCATCCAGAGAAATATTTCAACTATTTCAGACTAACTCTCCCATTATTCAATAAATTATTAAATTTGGTTGGCCCTTCATTAAAGAAAACTCATTTTGCAAAACAACCCCTAGCTCTTGCACTTGAGTCGGCAGTAACGTTAAGATAAGTGGTTTGAAGACACGCTCTTATTAAACAAAACTTGAGAAAATTATTAGTCGTATTTTCTGATATGATGAGTCTTTTCTTAAAAGTCGTAATTCGTATGAACCGTATGTCATCATTCAGGTTCATGTAATAAAATTTAAAATTCAACAATGAAATCCCTAGATATTGCCCGCTTCAACATGAATAGGGTATTTTGACAATTGGGCAAAATTTGCGGAACCGCAAAAATATTATCGCAACCGTTCTAATATGAACTCGCCTTTATCCTTTCGCTGCATCCTTTTTTTGCTTTGAGTGTCTAGAAAGGTTAATTCAGTCAAGCTGCTGGAAAATAATTCCATGAAAATCAAAAAATAAATAGATAAGTACTCTCTGATCATTCCCATATTGATTTCAATTTAAGAGCCACCGGTATTCAGCTGTTTCAGCCTATTGGGCATCGTCAGTACCGGGCAGGTGGTCCTCGATTGGAGACAAAATGATACGAACGTTCCGGATCCCTCTGCGGATTTCGGGACCCATCCGGAGTTTTCGCGGTATGCGTCATGCGTTGGCTGACTGGGACACCGTCAGGGCCGACTTCAGATTTATTACAATGATAATATTTGATTGTTTATAATCGTTTTTTTATATATCTACTGTTTAAATTATGAGTAAGGATATTTTTTCTTTTTCTAAAATATGATTAACAGTTCTATACAAAATACCAGAATAAAAGTCATTATCAATTCCATCTTTATCAACTTAACTATTCGTTATAAACAAATTCTACTCTTAGCTTTATTTTTTTCAAGTCATAAAAGTTACAAAAACAACCACGAACATAAAAATGCCATAAACAATTTTTTCCATTATTTATTCAATTTTGAAAATACACTTGCTTTTAACTATTAGAGATACGACAATGAACATTCAGATAATTTTTATAGATAATTGAATTATCTTTCAAATGTCATCTTGCATATATTCTTTATTTATTGTTAATTTGTTGTTTTAGGCATTTGTTTATGAAAATTAACGATTTCCTCAAGTTTTTTTCAACTTTTCAGGCTTACAGCTGAATTCGGATATTGAACTTCAGAGCAATTTTGTTAAAGTATAAATCATCTTACAGTTGCAGTTGGTTATTTGTTTATTTGTTAATTTTTTCATAAGCTATTGATGAATTTCGCAAAATTTTGGGAATTATTATATTCCCACCTAATTGCTTACTTCTATTTCACTGAATTCTAGTTTGTAATTGAAAAAATGCTTTAGACATGCAACAATTTCATTAAAAAATATAAGGACACGAGGTAACGTGTTAGGAATCACACGTTAAAAGATGGGACCTCGTTAGTCCTCAGCTCGCACAAGTTTCTCAATTTCTGAGAGTTGTCGTTCGTATGGGGGCAGCAGCTGATTAACGAAAAAACAGATTTTAAACAGATTTTTTCAAACAGATTGTTGAGTAGATATGATATTTATATAACTGAAAGCAGTTCATTTCTTTCAAATACAAAATTTTAATCGGAATATTACAATTAGAGTCGATAATATTCGTTATTATCATATCTAGAATGATAAATCAGTCAATTTATTTTATCAATTTCGTCTTTTCCTTTGTTTTTTGGGGGGTAGAAGTTTTTGAAGTGAGTACTTGCAATATCTAGGTTTGGAAGTGAACGTAATATTCTTTTTCCTTTGTTAATCGAGAGGTTTTCGATTTTTTGCTCTTCCTTTTCTTCTGCTTCATCTTCTTCTTCTTGATCTGTGGATTCTTCCATTTCTCCTTCTTCTTCTCCTGTCTCATCTGGCTCCGTGTTTTCTTCAGATTCGGAATCTAAATCTGCTCCGAAGATTCCGTTATTAATTTTTTGATGAGCTGACTTCTTTCTATTTTGTTGATCAGTGACCATGCCGTATTCGAAATTCTCATCTCCATCATCAGAGTCATTATTTTCATGTTCATCCGATAACAAAATTGGTCTGAAGTTCAATATCCAAATTCGCATTATTTACTGAGCTGTGACCCTGAAAATTTGTAGAAACCCGAAGAAATTTTCATAAACAAATGCCTAAAACAACAAGTTAACAATTACTGAAAAATATATGCAAGATGACATTTGGAAGATAATTTAATTATCTACAAAAATTATCTGAATGTTTATTGTCGTATCTCTAATAGTTTTAAAGTTATATAAGCATTAAAGTCAACAAATGGATCAGCTGGTGCAACTTTTGCAGCACGTGTATTTTCAAAATTGAATAAATAATGGAAAAAAATTTCTTTAAGTACCTCAAAAAAGTATTTTCAAGTTACGTACTCGCTTAGAGGTCATGTACGCAACCTAAAAATGTCGCGCAGACAGCTATTTTCAGCGTTGAATTGAAATTATAAATAATGGAGATACTGTTTCGGGAGTCGAAATTTGTTTTCAGTAAATTTCCTCCTATTCAATGATCAAAATATTTATAATTTACGAACTATAAACATTAAAACCGAACACTGCTTTTAGGGTCTTTAATTTTTTATAACTTTTAGAATTCTTTATGAACTAATTTACTTTTTTTTCACAATGATCTTGACAATACTCCGGATCAAATGAGCCTAACCACTTAATTTTACTAAAAGTGTGCCCATTCAATACGAATCTAAACTTAAAGTCGAGACTAAATGATTGATTACAGTTGATGCCAATGATTGTGAAATTAAAGAGAACAAAATGGTCTTGTATTTGAATGTGAAATTACTGATTCAACTCATTCTATTCCATTTGTTGTTTTTGTTTTGGCATCAGACCTGCTGGCACACTATTGCTGTGCCGTTTCACCACTTGTATTAGCTGTAATTTTTGATAATATTTTACATCAGTTGAATATGTTGAATTTCTCACTTAAAAGAATGGTTGAGTTTTGAATAAGTGATCGAATATATTTTTACTGGTTTTATCGCTTTTGATGAGGAGCTAAATGGAAAATTCAGCTCAATTAAATTCTCCTTCGATTTTTACATTGATTTTTGAAAATGTTTAATTTCATCCACAAAACTGTTTCTCAATCAATAAAATAATCGTTATGCCTCTGAAATTATAACGAAAATGTTGCTGTCGTTTTTATGTATTTGGTTATTTGGCACTTTTCTCTGGAAAGTGAAAGTGTCAAAGCTCTCATTATGGGATAATAACTTCATAAAAATGACAATTTTCACCGGTACAGATAAATGGACAGCACAGTATAATTTTTTGTAGTAAAAGAGGTACACTTCGATGTCGAGGTTCAGAAAATACCACTTCCTATTTAAATTTTTGAGATCAATGAAGTGAAAATTGGCATATAACAAAAGTCCGAAAAGAGTTCGTTGATAAGTGAAAAATTTCAATTGTTGACTTTTATTCAAAAACTGGGAAAATTTCGTCGTTAGTTTCTCTTTATATCGAGTTGTTTGACGTCATAGTACCGCCATATTCAAATAGAAATGGCCACATGTGTTATATCGTTGAAAAAATAATTTTATTTCTGATCAAATGGTTGAAAAAATATACTGAGTCCTATTGGACTCTGCTAGCTACAGAGTAGCTTTCAACCATTTGTAATTTTTGCGACGGCGCGCGGCGATCTATTCATTAGCCTATTGAGAATACCTTCACGAAGTGAAAACAATTCTAAGGTTTAAGTTTGTTAATTACCAGGGATTTCATGTTAACCTTCAGTTCATAAAAAATTATTAACTAACAAATGCATAATTAATTAAAAAATTGAGATGCAATTTTTCTATCGCGCATTATTGTTCATTGACGTATTTCAAAACTACATGAATTTTTTCAATCCTCAATTTTCATATTTGATGTGTTGAAAAAAAAAAGGTTTGTTGCTGTGTCAGATTGACGCCCCGCGGGCGAAAGCCAAGCTACCCGTTTTTGGCTCTAGTTTCAGGACTCTGTAGAAATTATAAATAATAGAAGTACTGCTCCGGGAGTCGAAACTTTTTTCACAGCATTTTTGATGATTTTTTTTTTTTTTTTTAATTCGAAAATTTTGAGTACTATTCGAGATATTCAGAAAAAAACAAACCTTAATTTTCTTTAGCTAATTTGTTTATGCCTTTCGTAATTTGTTTGCCTTTTCGAACTCATTCTTAAATTTTCTACGTGACAACATGAATATAATGACATCTTGATCGTAATTTTCGGAGATTATATAAAAATTTTAGAAGAAAATCGTACATGAACTGGACACTAGACTATTGATCTCATTCCTGCCAAGTCCCTTGGTACTTTCATATTTTGGAATCCACAACCGGTTCAAAACCTCGTTATTATTTTTCACCAGGATTTATATTTTTCTGTCTATCCTAAAAATGTATTTGTGAAACTGAAATACTCAAAACATGAACAACATGTATTTTTTAGTTTATTTTGATCAAAACTAACTTAAATTACGCAGTAGTTTCCACGACGCAACAATCAAACTTTCATGAATCTTCGCTAATATACATTTATCTCTTATCCACCTTGCATCCATCTGTTTTACATGTGAAAAACGCGGCAACGTTTAATGGACCTCACTTTGCCTTTATGGTGAATTAGTACATGTATATATGTCCTCACATTGTTAGGATCTTTGAAAAATGTATACGGACCTCTTCACTAGGAGAATAGTATAGTCCTCACTTTGTAGATGTATATTGAAGAAAAATAAATAATTTTCTATTCAGATTTTTACGAGTATATTTTCCATTTTTCTATTGGAAAACAGAGGCCGCGGCTAGGTTGAAAGTTAGTTCAAGAAAATCCCCACTGGGTCCGCGAAAGTAATTTTTAAACTACTTGGGGTATTAATGTATGGTGTGGATTGTTCAATGCCGCATCATAGGACCTTACTTTTTCAATGAAAATCTCAATGGATTGCGATATTGACTACTATAAATAGTCGTCATTAGCTTCTTCTGGGTAGGGTCTGTTACTAACTCTCTAAGCCACACCTTGGAGCATCATGGCTATTTGTAGTTCCGTCAGCCATGCTACGTAGGAGAATCAATCCCCCTTCAATTAGATAAATAATAAATGGAGGGAGAATCTGAAAGCAATTATTTATTTAATAATTAATAACAAAGTTTGACTTCGTGATAATTAGCTATTGAAAGTATGGTTCGAATTCTCTGTCTATATACCGGGTACCAACGAAATCATATATAACACATGTGGCCATTTCTATCGAATATAGCATGACGTCACATACAGAAATATTGTCAAACTCGATGTAGGATGCTAACGTCGAAGTTTGCTTAGTTTTTGAATAAAAGTTTT